GAATTCGTAAGTTTAGGTGATGAACAGAGAAAACTTGAGCGGAATGCTGAATCTGTGAGCAGTGAGATGTTTGCAGAATGCCAGGTTTGCCCTTTGTCTTTTGATACATATGAGTCATTGTCCTCTTTATACAGCCCTCTTGCAAAGTTTTCAGAGTTTCTGTTCTGTTTGATTTGACAACAAACTTATCATGCTTTGTCGATTTTGGTTTTCCGTAGGAGCTACTCCAAATTTTTGGCATACCGTACATCATAGCTCCCATGGAAGCAGAGGCACAATGTGCGTTTATGGAACAATCAAACCTTGTTGATGGCATTGTCACTGATGATTCTGATGTATTCTTGTTTGGAGCAAGGAGCGTGTACAAAAATATATTTGATGATCGCAAATATGTGGAGACATACTTTATGAAGGTGTGCATTTCCGTCCGTAAACTCTGGTTTCCTACATGTGGATTTAAGAAATCATTTCTTTTTATTTTGGCTGCGATGAGTTTATCTTTCTTCAATTTCACATAAGCTTCCATACTATCTCCGGCTTGTCTTCTGTTATAACTTCTTAGCACTTCTGTAGTTTCTTCTGGATTGTTACTTTTTCGGTAGTAGGTTGATACATTTGCCTTTATCAGGAATAAGTTGATACATCGTTTCGGTAGTAAGTTGATATATTTGGCTTTATCGATCTGTTTGCAGTTACATTTTTAATCGCATGCATTCAGTTTTTCAAATGTCTAGTGATTACATCTCTAACCTCTTTTGTTTTCAGGACATTGAGAAGGAGCTAGGCTTGAGCAGAGATAAAATAATCCGCATGGCAATGCTTCTAGGAAGCGATTACACAGAAGGAATCAGGTTAGCAGACGTTTTAACTGCATAGGGTCAAAGTCCCGTTCGATATGTAATTGATATCATAATTGTTTTGATATGCAGTGGTATTGGTATTGTCAATGCTATTGAAGTTGTGACTGCATTTCCCGAAGAGGATGGGCTTCATAAATTTCGTGAGTGGGTTGAATCACCTGATCCAACCATTTTAGGTTTGAAGATAAAGAAGCGGGGGTCTGGCTCTGTAGATAATAAAGGAATCATCTCAGGTGCCTCGACTGATGACACTGAAGAAATAAAGCAAATCTTCATGGATCAGCATGTATTGCTCTTTTACCTGAAGTTTAATGTTTAATTTATTATGGTCCAACTCGTTCAAGATTGACAAAACCTTTGACTCGTTAGCATTAAATTTTACAGAGGAAGGTAAGCAAGAACTGGCATATTCCATCGACTTTCCCTAGTGAGGCTGTTATTTCAGCCTACTTAAATCCACAAGTGGATCGGTCGACTGAGAAATTCTCATGGGGCAAGCCTGATCTATCAGTTCTTAGAAAGTAAGTCGTTTCTTTACTTAACATGTCATGAATATTGGGTACGTATATGATCATCCGTTCTTAGTACCAGGTTTGCGAACTAATACAAGGGACTTAAAAATCTAATTCCATCTACTATCTAGTTTCCTTCAAAAATATGGCACACACCTTAAGGCGTGATAAAGTTTTCAATGGATCTAAGTAGAAAAACAAAAAAAAAATATTCATGATTTGGCCGATGGACTCAGTTTCTGTAGTAAACTACCTCCAATTTATGAAACATCGTCCTGAGTTCTGTAGTATCACTTTTTATGTGAAGGCTATGCTGGGAAAAGTTTAATTGGAACAGCAAGAAAACAGATGATCTACTACTACCAGTCTTGAAGGAGTATGAAAAGCGAGAGGTCTTCATCTACATTTGATCTCTTATCTTCGATATGCATATGATTAATAATATGAACAGAATCTGACAATTTGACCTTTTTTATTATTTTCCATGAAGACGCAACTTCGGATGGAAGCTTTCTATTCCTTTAATGAAAGATTTGCAAAGATCCGTAGTAAAAGAATCAACAAAGCTGTCAAAGGAATTGGCGGAGGTCTATCGTCAGAAGTGGCTGATAGTACTCTCCAGGAAGGTCCAAGAAAACGAAATAAGAAAAGAGTTGCTCCTCATGAAACTGAAGATAACACCACTTCTGACAAAGATTCACCTAAAGCCAATGAGAAAGTGAAAAACAAAAGGAAGCGGTTAGAAAAACCATCTAGTAGTAGAGGCAGAGGCAGAGCCCAGAAAAGAGGAAGAGGAAGAGTCCAAAAAGATCTCCTTGAGCTATCAGACGGCACTTCTGATGATGATGACAAGGATTTAGAGGCAAAACCGAGCAATCTTCAAAAAGTGCGAAAGGTAAGCCTTAATTTAGCTTTCTTATAATGGAACCAATATTACTTCTTTTAATTGATTGTGTAGTGGGTTCACTTTGTTATCTGTTGTTATTCCCCAGTCAACACGATCTCGGAATCCTGTGAAGTACAATGCAAAAGAAGATGATGAATTGGACGAGTCAAGAAGCAATGGAGAATCCCTTAGTGAGCATTTCGAAGAGGTTGATGAAGGCAGAATAGGAAATGTCTCTGAAGAAAGAACACAGAAAGAAGCATCAATCAACGATTGTCCATCTGAAGACTATATTCAAACGGGAGGTGGGTTTTGTGCAGGTGAAGCTGATGAGATTGGAGACGCTCATCTGAAAGATAAAGCTACGGATGATTACAGAGTGATCGGTGGCGGATTCTGTGTTGATGAAGATGAAACAGCTGAGGAAGACGCAACGGATGATGCAGAGATGCTAAAGATGGAGAGTGAAGAACGACGAAAGAAAGGTAAACGTCGAAATGAAGAAGATGCATCATTGGAAGAGAATGTTGAGATTGGTTTTGGGAATTCTTCAACTGAAGGATTAAGTGCTATGCCTTTCTTGAAGAGAAAAAAGAGAAAAAACTGAAAAAACTTCGTTTAGTTTTATATAACAGTAAATGGTTAAGTAATTTTTTATGTGAACTGATTTGACATAATTAACAAATGATTAGGATGTGAATATAATAGAATCTTGGAAGTTATAACTTTGAAGTGGTTTTGTGGCAAACGATAAAGGTAACTAAACGTCAAAAAAGAATGAGAAGCAAACAGGTTTATGATCCATTGACGACGGTCTCCTTTTACCAAACCCTTTGTTTCTCGATAAAATACCTTTTTTTCCTTCTCTACTTTTTCATTTGCCTTTTTACATAATTTCTCAACAAATTTTGAGTGAAGAATTTTCTACATTTTTCACTAAAAGATTTGTTTGACTTCGAGTTAACCCAGGACTCGGATACTCACACTACTAAACAGTGCCGGTTCGAGCATTTGTGAGGCCCTACACGAAAAATAAAATAATGTCCAATATATTTATAAGTTTTAGGGCTAAATTTTTTTTTTTACCTATTTTTAGTAAATTATACAAAAATAATGATATTTTGAATATTATTACATTCAAATTTAATTGTTTGGCCCCTATTTTATTTATTTTTTTCGAAAAAAACTTTAGTTTTTACTAAATATTTTCATTTTATGGGCCTTTTTACCAAAAAAAAAAAAAAAAAAAACCTTAAAAAAAAAAAAAAATTTGTGGTGCCCCAAGCCACCGCTTGGGTGGCCTGTCCTGCGGGCCGGCCCTGCTACTAAACGGGCTCGGGAATACGTAACATGAACCCACGGTTGGTTTGTTTTGTCCATATACGTTTATTTGCTTAGGAGAAAATTCTCGGATGTTCTTACTTCTTGAGGAGTGAGCTCATTTGTTTTCCCCTCATAAAAAAATAATTTCTTCAATCTTTTCTTTTAAACGAATAATATTTAACAATTTTAGGTATTTACCGATCCAATCATCTTTTATCCAGGTCGTTCACGTAAACCAATTCTAATTTGGGTCAAATCTGAATCAACCCATTTTTATTTATTTAAATTGATTTAAAATTCAAAAAAAAATTCCTTTTTTTTTTTTTCCGTTTTCTCATCGTCTGTTTTTTTTTAAATCGATATTTGCAGTTGATTATGAAAAACGATGTCTCTAAACTCTGCACAACTAAGTAAGACTTGGTATAACTAGCTAGTTTGGTTTTGTAACTTAGAAATTCTTGAAACCAAAAAGTACAACTTTGTAACACTTGGTACAACTGGATCTAGTTGCAATACGTGGAGCAAATCCAAGATTTCGAGAAAGAAACCGAAGCATTACAACTTTTCAATATGTTCTTCAGTCCCAAGCATGTATAACAAGCAATTTAAGATCTATACCTATACACCTTGGAAATTTTAAATCAAGATGTCATAAAAAAATGTTAAATTGAGGTGACATCATGTCATCAAGATTTGACATCAGCATATCATCTCTCAGGCCCTTTGACCAGAAAAACAATTCAGCAATACCCTTCCCGAAATTGCCTATTTATTTTATTTATTTTTTAAATAGAAAATGTGGCTAAATACTTTCATACCCTCAAAAAAACCTTGAAAACTGCAGACCCAACCAATGTTATCCCCACCCAACCATCACAAAACCCACATAATTCGGATCTCTCTCTCCCTTTTGAAACGGCACTTAGAAAAAACAAAGGAACGAAGGAAATCAAATCGTTTTTTTTCCCTCGTTTCATTCTCTTCTTCTTTTTCGACAGTGGAGTACAACCGTGGATAACCTGAGATTGTGTCTTCTTTGTGTAAGTCGAAATTGCTATTCAATTTCTCTGTGATTTCGTGTTGTCGATTGGATTTTGTTTGAGTAGGTTAGAATCCGATTAGGTTAGAATCTGATTGGAGTTGTTAATCGTTTTTATTCTTTGGTTTGAACAGGATTCGAAATGCGTACAAAAAACCCAAGCTATCGTGAAGAACCAAATCCAACAGATGTAATGGTAGAAGCACAAGAGACTCGTGGAGATGAACCCGAAGAAACCGAGTCTAATCCGCCGTCTAATCCTCAGGATTCAACGATATGTCTAGGTTATTGATCTAAAATTCCTAAATCAGAGAGTACAACTAGGTATGACATAGGGTTTCTTGTTCTAAAAATCGCAAATCAAAAAGTACAACTTAGTATGACTTAGTGTATCTTGATTTAAATTTCCTAAAACAGAAAGTACAACTTAGTATAACTTAGTGTATGTTGATCTATTTTACAGGAACCCGAAGAAGAAATCGAAGCTATGCAACCTCTAAATATGTACTTCGGTCCCGAGGAGTATACAAAACCATTTAAGATTTCTGCGAAGTGTTATATCGCACAGATGGTGAGGCTATTAGGGACTATAATAAACTCAAAACAGTTCTTATGTGCAGTTTTGTCAACTAAATCTTTAACTGCTTGCTTGTTTTCAAATTCTTGACGTATGGTCAAATTCATACCATCTTCCCATTCACGCTTTACAACAGGTGTAGCTTCAGCACCTTCACACACATCACTGTTATGTACCACTGCTCGTTCTTTGGATCTTTCTTCATAAAGAATAATATTGTCATCTCTCGCTTGCCTATTTTCCACCACCTCATCACGTTGAGATGACTCCCTTTCATCAAGAGTCATGTTCTCATCTGTCTCTCTACTACTTGAAATCAGCTCCTCATTACTTGCACAACCTACACTCCCTCGATCTTCTCTACCACACGGTTGCTCTTGTCCCTGATTTCCCTCGTTTATGACTTCCACATGCAAAACTTGGAATTGATCTTCATTCATTTTCAAATAACACATAACATCATCATCATCAGATATATATATTGGCCTTTTAGGATCCACTAGTTCTGGAACATAACTAAGTTTGAGCTCAGTGGTAGTTTCATCAACCTTCGCTTTTCTGCATATTTTGTTCACTAATGCAGAATAAGTAACCTCCTCAATAGATGTTTCCATTCTAAGAGATTGATGAACTTGTTCTCTTGATTTCCATCTTGGTTCATTTCCCCTTCTAACATAGTATCCCCCATAATAAAAAAATATGATTTTTCGACGATTATTATTCATTGTCCCTGAAATAGAAAAAAAAACTCACATTAAAATCGTCCAACTGGTACCAAGTTGTACCAAAAAGTCCCAGAAAATAGTCTAACTTGTAACAGTTGTACTATATAAGTTATACCAAATACTACTGGTTGTACCGTATAAGTTATACCAAATACTACTGGTTGTACCTGTACCAGTTGTACCAATTACTACTAGTTGTACTACATCCACAAAATCACTACTCCAGTAATTTCAGACTATTCCCGACTTGGTTCGATTGAAGTGTTACAATGCGTACATTATCAATAGAATTTGACCCATATCGAGTAGAAGAACAAATAAGACTGAATCTAATAAGCATTCAAGATAAATCTTAGAACTCTAGACAAAAATCCCTAATTGAATACACAACATCCTACCATTTACGAGTTTTAAACAACTTAAATTTAACAATGGGAATCAAATTGGACAAATTACCTCAATGCCGGACTGGTTGCGTTGATGGAGGAGCTCTTTGTCGAGTTTCTAAGCTCTTCTTTTGGGGGAGAATTTGGGGAGGACTGTCCCGACGAAGAAGATGAGGAATGAATGGGAGAGGGAGTGTGGAGTGTATTGGTGGGGGCCACATGTTTTTTTTTCTTCTTTTTAATTGAATTTCGATTTATTAAATCAGGGACAAGAAGGGGAAAATGTGGTCAACCCAGAGTCAAAGGGTACTAAGAACATAGAAAGGCATTGCTGAATTGTTTTTCTGGTCAAAGGGCCTGAGAGATGATTTTAAGTAATTGAGGTGAATTCGCCATGTTTTTATGCATTATATTTGTTAAAACAATATTTTTGTGTCTTTTGGAATGTAACGTGGTTAACATTAATAATTTCATCATAAAAGTATAATGTATTTTATGATAACACAAGAATACGATGAAGACTAATATAATTTTGTATAACTAATATATTTTTGTATAACAAAAAAAGGTTAATTCGATTTATTAGTTGCAAATGAAGATTTGTTAGTTTTCCTTAAAAGGGACTGATTGTAGTTGTACCATTACAATTATCAATTTTACTTAGTTGAACAAAATGAAGAGTATTAAATATGTTTATGGTACTCATTGTCTCATGAACAAAAATCTATATTAGCACCTATTAACTTGTAGTAGTTATACCAGTTGTACTATTTGTCTGTGTAATACCAGTTGTATTAATTATACTAAGGTGTTCGATGGTAGATGATGGATTCACGTATGACATGGAATGTTTTGATTGGTCGGGGAACTCACTTGTAATTAGTCGAAATAATGATTACTGATTTGTCGAATGTTTTTTTTTTCTTTTTTCTTATTAAAAACTGATTTTATAAGGGCACAGTAGGGTTTGTGTATTTTCATTAAAAGTAGAGGAGTATGTAGATTATTTGAGAATATCAAAGATTGGTTTTTGACAATTAAGAGCTCTTGAGAATTTGACCCCTTTACTTAGTTATTCTATCTCTTTTTGTCAAAAGTCTGGATATCCGATCGATCAAAAGTCAGTCAGTTATCACACACATACTAGTTTATAGCAGATAAATATTGGTTAATGATTCAGTTTATTGGTTAATTTTATTTTTTATTACTCCCTAAAATTGAAGGTTAAACCCAAAGTAACTATAAATTTACTTCCCATAGGTTAAGTTGCCTGCCTACCCGTGGTCATCAAAGTCATTAACGATATTATTCAATAAAAAAAAATACCCCTCACCCCAAATCAACTGTCCTACGATTCTCGGAAATTCATCCCAACAATAATTATTAATTATACTGGTGTAGTGAATTAAATTGATATTATTGGTCATTCTCGTATTTCTTTTAATTTGTGAAAGCATCTTAAACAAATAAAAAATTATGAAATGAAAAATAAAATAGATAATATGAATTTATTTTGTTGATAGTGATGTATGCAAATAAATTTCAATATATATTGCAAGTTGCACCTTTTCTAATAAATATCTTGTAAACTATAATAGTTATACATAGAAAAAAATAAAACAGGGAGTAAAATGAAATATAAAAAGAAACTATGAAGATTTATAAACTAACTACTAAATATTATTTTTGAGGATTTAATATGAACACAAAACAAAAAAAAAGGTCGGATTTTTTCTAAAAATACCACTATTTGCTATCAATTTTCAAAAATGTCACTTTTTATACGCTTTGTAAGATAGTTATATAATATTTATAAAGTAGTTGTAAGAATTTTATTTATAAGAAATACAAAATCTTAGCTTATGACATATAAAGAGGTTTTATAAATCTTTATAAGGCATATTATAAGAAACTCTATTTTGAAAAACCTTTCTCTTAGTTGTAGTTTTGATAATGGTTTCCGAAAATGATATTTTTCAAAATTTCGAAAAAAACAAAAGTACGAAACAAAAATAAACCGAGAAATGTGAAGAAGCTACTAACAAGTAACAACCAAATATTCACAAGTTTAGGGTTAAATCATCTACCTCTATTCAAGTTTCTTAGTGTTACATGATTGAGCCCTTCATTCCAATTCACATTATATGATTTTGAAGAAATTGATTGAGTTCCTTTTGTTACAAGATTGTCTTTGGCAGAAAGAATATTTTGAAATGGGTAAACAATAAATTATTGAAAAACGACCAAGATTTCAGAACATGCTCCGTTCCCAAACATCATGACACCAGATTCAATCTTCCATATGGACCATATCTCATCGGCACTAGTTGCTATTATTGTGTAACGATAGAATCGTGAATAACAAATACAAAATAGAATGAAATGATCTTATATCAAAATGAGGAAAAATTTACAAAGTAATATGTGACTGAATAGACGTTTTATTAATGTATGTCTAGATATTTATCACATCACATCATTGAAACATATTTTCTTGTAGTTTTGCTTTTACAGTTTACTAGGTTTAGATTCGTTAGAGATGCAACTGTAGGTTAATTTTTGTAAATGTAGCTTTGTTTTTTTATTGCTGTAGAAAACATCTCACAGTATCTATATATTTAAAATAATTGTGTTGGAAAATAGACTCAAATACGAACAAACAAAAAATATGGGTTTCAAGAGGTATACAGTTTTAGTGGGACATACCTACACGTTTAAAGTCTTATTGGTAAAAGCTGTTGAAATTTTCTAAATACATTACCAATTCACACTCATATTTTGGTAGAGTAACTATTATAGTTAAAAATTTTTTTATCAAAACCATATTATTTGTGGAAACTTCTTAGTCCGATAGTGATAAAGGCTTAATATTTCTACACCATATTTGGACCGGATTCCCAAAATATAGGAGTTGTAGCAAATTAGTGGCGATAAACTTAGCGGAGATGAACATAGTGCAAGTAAGCCGTTCGTCATGATTTTATCTCTTAAAAGCATATCGATTCATCATTAATATGATATAGAAATAGAACCATATATCATGAATCTTTATGGTGTTGTTAGACCATTTATCGTAAATCTTTGTGGTGCATTTATAACTGTTTGCTTTTTAGCCATATGAAACCGTTAACCATGAAAAGCTAAAAGAATTTGATTTGTTAGTCGTGAATATTAAGATAATTATTTAAAGCATTATCTAATGATAATGTAACAAATTTTTAAAAAAAGTTCTTTATTTACACTTAATACTAATGTATACATCATTTTTAACATGATATTGGTTTAACCAAAAAGGTTTATGAGTACAAAAATATTTTGGTTATCTATAACAAAGATTACAAAATTTGATTAAAAGAAAATTTGCGATAGTAGTCATAATATAGTTTTTCTTTATTTATAAGTCTAATCAAAGCAACATGTACCCAAAATAAACACAAACACAAATCATAGTCAATGGTGTATTTAAAACTAATGTCTCTAACCAAGAAACATATCAATCTCCTTTAGTAATAGAATTATAATCTTAAAGAACTTAGTTTTTTGTTCACAACTTTTTCTGCTCACAACTTTTATAAAGAGATTAATTTAAGTTTCTAATTTGAATCTAAAATTGAGAGGCGGGGATGACAGAGAGAGATGTCGGGACAAAAAGACAGATAAGCTAATTTGTGCGGTGGATTTTACACATAACTTTGTCAGTCACGAGACTCTTTCTTATTCTAATGGCACCAAACCCTAGTTTTGTTCTTTTCTTCTTTACTTTTTATTTATCCTTATATTTTATTTGGATTCTCATACTCTCATAGGTCTCTTTCTCTATTGACCATATCTTTTTATCTCATCTCTTCCCTTTCTTGTGATATAACTTTTTACTCTATTATTACGTTCAAGTCGGGGCTAGATGTGGTTGTAGTCCAATGATATATTATTATTTGCTAGACTATAGATTTATATTTATTGGATACACACACTTGATAAGACCATATTGTATAGAAGGTTGTAACTTTTAGGCTTCAAATTTAGTCTACAAATCTTAATTTCCTTTACGATTCGATAATTTTTTTTTATATACTTAAAACGTATAATTAATTTCTATTATTTTATCTAAAAATTTCGGATAATCAAGTTGGGTATGGATTAGGTGTTCCGACCGAAATGAAGATGCTTTCGTAAAACCTTATAACATGGTCTTAACCCTTGTTTTAAAAATCGCTAGGCGCTAGTCGGGCGCTCGGCATGGGCCTAGCGATTAATCGGAAAATCGGATTAAAATCGGGGATTAATCGGGGATTAGTTTTAGGGTTATTTTAATATTTTTAAAATATATTAATCCAATATTGTAAAAATTTATGATTTTTATTACAAATTTATGATTTTTATTAAAATTTGAACACAAGTTATTGTAAAACATCACAAACTCTCCATTCAAATGATTGAATAACAAAAATAAAAAGTTTTTTTATACTTGCAATCTAAAAAATAATCGGGGTATATAAGATTAGGCGGAAAGTAATCGGATTAGGCGGAGAATAATCGGGTTACTGATTTTTTAGGGGATTAGTCATTAATCGAGGCGGATAGGGTGGGCCTAGCGATTAAGCGGGGAGTAATCGGGGCTAGGCGGGGATTTTTAGAACAGGGGTCTTAACTAATAGTGTGTATTTAACAAGTAAAGACATGTCTATTAAGAGAAAATCGACTAAACCGGACAATTTTAGTTAGACCGGATAAAGACCATGTGGTCCATTTAGCCATAGTAGTGATCATATGTAAAATCGATCTAGTTGTTGTTGTCATGTAGCTAAACTTCAGAATCTTACACTCACTAACACTTCGAGTTTCTTCTCATTGGCACAAAACTGATCATCTCCATTCTCTTTCTCTCTCTCTCTTCTATCTTTCATCAAAATGCCATAACTCTCTCATCTCTCTCTCTTCCCTTATACCAAAAATTAAGCTTTATCTCTCTATCCATCAAGAGAGAACATCACAATGGACGATAAGAGAAGAAACATGATCTCATTTACTCTGTTTCTCACATTGACAACGATGTTATCACTCATCAACGCCGATATCGACTCAATCCAACTAAACGACGACGTTTTAGGACTCATCGTCTTCAAATCAGACCTCAACGACCCATTTTCACACCTTCAATCATGGAACGAAGACGATAACACTCCTTGTTCATGGAGTTACGTCAAATGCAACCCCAAAACATCTCGAGTCACCGAGCTTTCCCTCAACGGTTTAGCCTTAACCGGAAAAATCAACCGCGGAATCCAAAAGCTTCAACGTTTAAAAGTTCTCTCACTTTCCAACAATAACTTCACCGGAAACATCAACGCTCTCTCA